ATTAGGCAAAGTATCACCAGCAGGTCAGGAGAGATGATCTTTCCCCTGTACTCAGCATTGGTGAGATCACACTGGAATATCATCTCCAGTTCTGGGCATGCCAGTACAATACAGGACATACAGGACAGAGTCCAACTGGAGCACTTACTGAGGACAGAGTGAGCTGGGATTGTTCAGTGTGCAGAAGGGGAGGCTAAGGGCAGGCATATTATCAATGTCTATACACGCCCATATAAGCACTGGAATAGGCTCCCCAGGAAGGTGGTTGAGTCACCATCCCTGCATGTGTTTAAAAACCATGTGGATGTGGTGCTCAGGGACATGATTTAGCAGAGGGTTGTTAGAGTTAGGGTAGTATGGTTAGGTTGTGGTTGGACTCAATGTTTTTAAGGTCTTTTCCAACCTGAGTGATTCTATGATTCTATGATTCTATGATTCTATGCCTGAAGGTGGGACACAAGGAGGATAGAGACAGGCTCTTTTCAGTGGTGCCCGATGCCAGGACAAGAGGCAATGGGCAGACAAACTGGAACACAGACCATTCCAGCACAGCCTTGCTGAAAAGGACCTGGGGGTACTGATGGATGGTAAGCTGAATATGAGGCAGTAATGTGCCCTTGCAGCCCAGAAAGCCAACTGTATCCTGGGCTGCATCGAAAGCAGATTGGCCAGCAGGTTGAGGGAAGTGATCCTGCCCTACGGAGTTGGACCAGGTAACCTTTTAGGGTCCCTTCCAACTCAAATGATTCTATGATTCATCCAAAAACTGGGAAGCACTTCTGCACTGTGTTCACTGTGCATTGTGCACTGTGTGGGCACAGGTTCCCCAGAGGCTGTGGAGTCTCCTACTTTGTAGATCCACAAAATCCACCTGGACACAATCCTGGACAAGCTCTTCTGGGTGTCTCTGCTTGAGCAAGGGTTGGACCAAATGGACACAGATGGCCCTGCTAACACCATCTATTCTGAGATTCTGTGATATTCCTGTCCTTCTCTCAAGCTTCTTTTTTTCACTGTAATTTTTCCTTCTGTCTTTCTGTGGAGGGGGAGTAAGAGATCAGCATGGCCCAGCTGCCCATCATTGTTCTTAGAATAGCACTTCACTAACAATCTTTTTACAAACTTTTTTTAATTACAGGCAGAATTGTCACCTATATCACTAATAAGTCTGCTAGTAGCACTTCAGATTCTCAGATTTTCCCATGCATTATGTGTGATGTGAGCAGTTTCTGCAGGCTGGTAATGCAGTTGCTGCAGAAACTGTAGTCCAGCTAATGTAAAATATTTCTCCTGTATCTTGGCATAAATAATGAAGGGCACAGCAGTATCCAATTATTCACTAAATGTTTCAGACACTGGCACTTAGAAATCCCAGAGGCATCTCTGCCTTTCAGAAAGTGTACCAAAGGAATGCTCCATCATGTTGTGGCATAAGAAAAGCACATGGTTAAACTGACAATACTATCCTATAGTGTCTGCATAAGGTTGTATTATGGTTAGAAATGTACACATGTAAGTAGGCACTACCACTCCATTAATTACTTTTGTCCATATTTGAAAAAAAAAAAAAAAAAAAACAAGTTAAAAAGTCCTTCAATATTCTTCAGATGTAGGTCATGGGAAAGCCTACGAATATTAACATATTTCAAACAGGAATGTGTCAGCATATCATGATAGTATATACATGTGTATACACACACACACACACACATATACATATATGTACACACACAATTCTCTGTGTCCCGTAGTTGTTGAAGAAATTGGGTGGAAGTGTCTTGATGCATATCTGAAGAGCAGGTAGGTGTTCAGGTTTGGGCAGCAGAGATTGTTGGGCTTCCATGAGGAGGGACTGGGCCTGCCCTGCGCTAGACACAGCCAGTTCCATGGTCATCGTGTATGTATCTCAACCTATGAGCTTTATTGTGTGAGTTCTATGATTCTATTACTTCCTCCTAGCCCCAACCAGTTAATGAGAGGAAATGAGAGAGCAACTGAGTCGGTGTCCACAATCAGCTACAGTCAATCAGCTACTGCGTGACCACAGAAAAGTACAGTGCAGGGTTTTTTACACAAAGAGAAAAAAAAAAAAATCTTGTGACAGCATAGTATGTGGGTTGAGGCAACAGACCTGGCTATGAGTTTCTTTTTTCCAGTCTTTCTGCTTTTAGGTACTGAGCAGCATATGTAGGAAAACCACTCATCCATTGGTGCTTCAGGCTTCCTTTTTTTTTTAACCTGCTCTATGCCTTACTCTGACATCTATTACCTCCTCCTTCAATTTGCCCTAAATGTGTGTCTCCTCTTATACATTCCTGCCTATAGCTACCATTAATTCATGTCTTCAGTTCATGCAAGAATAAACAGCACACTGTCCTGTATTTCATTTGATAAGCTATTACTTTAAACTTCAACAGCGCTTAAGTATCCCCTCAAAAATTTTCATAGAAAAAATCGAATTGCTTGATAATTTTTTGTGACTTCATCTCACTCTCAGTGATGCAACCAGTGCCATCAGAGTGAAAATGAATTAAAAACAAAACAAGAAAAACTACTAAACGTTTGGAAAGCAGCATTGTGCTAACTTCCTATTCTGTTGTGTTTTTCTGTTGTTGTTTTGTGTTGTTGTTTTTTTCTTGTTTTTAGCTTTCTGTTTTTAACTTGACAATACAGAGCTTGCTATACAGTCAAACTAGAAGAAACAGCAGTATTCAGAAGCAACCCTCTCATACTGTCAAGGAAAGAATATGTGGGTATGTGCAAACTGAAATACTAAAGATTACAATGTCTCAGGCATGTTTGGATTGTACTGTTAGACACTACAAAATATGCAGTAATTTGTAATTTCTCCTGAACACGACAGTAATATTGACTTTATCTTGATGGTGTCCAAAAAACATTTGTTGGTACCCACCCCTTCTCATACACTCTCATTCTGTTATGCTTTCTCTGGGCACTGTTCTATGAAACAAAATTTGTGGATATCCAAACCTGTTGCAACAAAAACAGAAGTTAAACTTCTTTTCTGCACAAGAAGATATTCTTCTAATATCCAGGGAAAAAAAATACAGGCAATTTAGTAAAGCAGGAAAAGCAGAAGGAGTGTTTCATGACTAGCAAGGGCAGACTCATGTGGATTGATCTAGTTTGCAACAGTTTCTTTTAAAAAAAATATCAGAAACGACACTTGATCATCAAGTAGAATGAAAGGATAAAAGCAGGCAGTAGGAATTCTCATTAAAAAAAAAAAATCAACATTATTTATAAGGAGCAAAATAATTATTGACTTTTTTTTTTCTGCGAAAACAAGAGCTCTTGTGCATATATTCCATAAAATTGGGCTTCCTTCAAGGCTTCCAAGACTCCTGCCCACTTCAGCATCTATAATCAACTCTTTTAATAATAAAGCCTAAATTGAGAATTCTTATTTCCTGAACAACACTGCAGGAAAAGAAATTATGTACTTACCACCTTTTTTCCTCAAACTTATTTGTTAGAAGAGAATACCAAGTGCACAGATTTTCATGCACATACACATTTTTGAAAGAATCAATACACTAAGTCAATAGTTCCTATTTTCTGACTTCGCAATTTAAGTTCTCGTTTCTAACATTTTCTTTTGACAGTTAAATAATGCTTTCCCAAATGTTATTTCAGTTTCAAGTGTCATACATGCAGCAAATGAGATAAGAATAATTTAACTCCATTCATTTATAAACATTTTAATTACTACAGTTTCAGATAGAGTATGACATATTTAGGAAATATCATTGTTTCACCTTTGCATTTGCCATTAATAATCACACTGTGAATCTAGTAATAGCAACATACAAGTTACCACTGAGATTAGCTCACTGCTACTGCCATTATAACTGCATTTTATCTTACCATTTTTCTCAATTTACTGTTCTGATCACTGCCAGATTCTTCATAATGTCTCAAGAAAATGTGAAAAGCTGAAAATCCTATTGTTCTTTCATTATGTAACTGTTCCATGAATAACACTCAGGTGTACTCCATTGTATTTCTCTCTCTTCTTTTTTTTTTTTTTTTTTTTTTTTTAAATCTCTTTCATAGAAGCTTTAATTAGAGCTCCTGAAGATGTCCACTTTGCTATATCTGCAACCAGCCACCTTCTTTGTCTTCAGTCCCTGTAACTAATGAAGATCTTCACTGTTCATGACAGAGGACTCTTCAAACTGAGAGGTATTAACAGCAGTGTTTTCAGGGAGACTGACCCTGGAAATCAAACACTTTGTTCTGCAGTATTAAAAGCTAATGTTTAATTATAACAGAAAATATATATATATATATATATATATATATATATATAATACATGTTTCAGATGTTTTTCTTTTTTAAATCATATTTTTTTCCTCCATGTCTCATACAGATTCCCACTGGAATCCATCCATCATATTAATAACTTTGCACTCAAGTTTTAGTCCCTCTTTCCCTGATTGCATATTACCTACATTTTGGCATATACTCAGACTGAACTTTACTGTATATCAATAAATTTCCCAAATACAGAAACAGGCATACAGAAAGGTCAGATTGCACTTCAGTACTAATCCTACTGACAATATATATATGAATGCAGCAAGATTGGTTTCATGCTGAATTTTCCATAACCTTCAAAGCTATCTTAGTAAGCCAGAGAAGCACATGTCCCTTTACACAATAAACCCTAATTCATATTTTCCACTGTGCACAGCATGGTAACCCATTCTCTACCAAAATCTTCATTCTCAGAACATTGTAAAGTAATCTTTGGTTTTTTTTTTTAGGGCAGTTTCTCTCTAATGACTGTCTAGAGACTACAAAGGAGCTCAGACTTTCATGAATGGAGGCCCAACAGCATCTGCTCATAGTAACCTGCTTTAGAGTAAATAGTAATCCACTTTAGAGATGGCCTAGACCTGTTTTAGCCAAATACTTGTGCTCTTCTACTTACCTAGTAACACAACCAATCTTCTCCAAAAGAAATTCTGATGTTTCCTTCTTTGAGTAACTGAATTTTGTCAGGACACTACAATTCTTCACATCATCACCGAGATTATCCATTTCTGAACAGCTGGCCAGGGCTCTGGAGTCAGCAATTACAGTTGCAACATGTAACATAGCAGAGTCCCCAAATCATCAGCATCCTTAAATAATTTCCTTGTTACCAGGGATCTCAAATTAGCTTTCTATGAGAGTCATAAATGTTGTTAGAAGGCAGCAACGATTGAGTAAACACACAAAAAAAATTCTGCTTAATAAAAACACCTCATGGGGCACTACTGCTTAAACATAGTGAGTGTTCAGGTACTGTGTGTATGGCATGCACAGGAACATCAGAACCACTCTCACTGCTGCCTGCTTGTCCATCAGCTTTCTTACAACCTGAAGCTGACTTCTCTTTCTTAACAGCAGCAAAACAGCTGTAGAACACAGTGTATCTTAACTGAGACTTATGATGGTTTTCATTCACAGCATACTGGGAGAGCAATATACTGTGCACCTGGCAGAATTACCAAAAGAGGTGCAGGGTTATAGCACTTAGGGGAAGAAAAAAAAAAAAAAACAAAAACAAAAACAAAAAACAAAAAAACAGTAACAGTGTTCAGCATTTCCATAGAGATTCCCAACATGATTCTACAAGTCTTGGTGCTAAAATTTTCTTCTTTCTTAATATACAATGGGGGTCCTACAGAAGTCTTCAGGGTCTTCGTACCCACAGAATATATTTAGCAGTAGGGACTAAAAAGGCCAATTATTAACACCTGCAGGAAGCATAAGTAACTGTTCCATAAACTTAAAAGGTACGCTGGCCCTTTTTTATTACCATGTGGATCTTTAGCACAAAACTTCCTTCATCGTAAAACCTGTTCGTTCCTGAAAGAAAAAAAAAAAAAAAAAAATACACTGAAGAAAAACAAAGAGTGCCATCTACTGTTGTTACTCAACAGAAGACTGTTGAATTTAATTTCCTTACCTTCTACGACAAACTAATGTATGCATAGCCTCACAGTTAGCTGTATTGCCCCATTTTTATTGCATATGTAATTTGCTGACAACACTCTTTAATCTTGTTTCTGGAATTCCCCAGGGAACTGGTTAATGGTACGCACTGAGCCTTCAGCAACGTTAGTTCAAATCTCAGTCAGCAAATTTCTTCCAGCCCTCAACATGCAAAAGCAAAGAAATGCAAGATTGCTGAGAGAATTCACTATGCAAGTATCACTAGGCAAATATAACTATCTGTTTTTCCTGTTCACATATATTTCCCCGGGAATCTGCAACTGGAAACTGATGAGCACATTCTAATTTTTTATCTGTTTAATAAAAGTGCATGAAAGAACTGCTTCCCTATCACCTCAGCTTGATAGCAGCACTGAAAACCAACCAACAAACAAAAAACCCAAGCACATAAGTCCTAAAAATACACCTGATATCTGTAGAAAAAAAAGCAATAATTAGTGGTTAACAGATAGAATGCAGTACTCTGATTCTTCCTGAATATGTTACACTTCAAATCAAGTAAGCTATCAGTTATATAGACAAGTATTCAATTCCCTTGATTTAAACAAAAACAAACTAAAATAAATATGGCTCTGAATGTTTCTGTAGAAGAAAGTTCCCATATATTACTTTAACTACCATGTATCCTTCATTAGACCTTCTTCCTCAGCCCACCTTAAGGGATATCTATTTTCTAGCCTATGGTTTCCAGTAAAGATCAACTTCTGAGTCTTTACAAAATACAAACTTGTATTTTTTACAGCTTCAACACCATATCAGCCTCACTAATGCAAGTGTTTTTATAGTAACCTTCATACCTTCAATTCAGGAGAACCAAACCAAAACCAGCTACCTAAGGGTTACCACCTGAGTCCCATCAGAGATTAACGCTTTGGCGAGCTCAGCCAGGCATAGGATTAAAAGTTTAGGTAGAGGGTTGAATAACCTGAAAAAAGTCTGCCAAGGTCACATGGAAGCTAATCTCTGCAAAGTCCCATCTTACAAAATCAATGCTGCATCAAGAGAGGAAAAAAAAAAAGGAAAAAAAAAAAACAAAACAACACCAAAAAAAAACAACACTGAAGGCAACATATTTGAAAAACAGGAACAGAAACGAAGCCTCTGGTAAAGCCAGGTAAATCCATCCCTGTCACAGGAAGTCAAAGATTTTTGTCTGGGAGAATGAAAACAAGGCTACTGCAGTATTCAACCTGCAGCACCTGGGGCCTGGAAGGGACCAGAGGGAGAAATTCAAAACCTCTGGATGGAACTCATGGAAGGTAACTCATCTACTGCTAGTGATGAAAGCCAGGTCTGCATCTTTCCCCTAGCAACAGCTAATGAGCATCCACATGACCAAATGTGTTGATATAGCTGCATCAGTTTGACTTAAAGGAAAGGGGGAAAGGAAAACAGACTAGATATTTTCATAGGATCATATATTTTGCTTGTTCTCATTTGGACAACCATGAATAAGTTTCTCTCCCTACCCTAGAATCACCGTGTGTTATCCATACTCATGTAAATACAGCATCCAGTAATGCACTAGTAAAGTCTATTCTGACACAATACAGAGACAGTGCTATTGAGTAATGGAAAATTTAATTTCACTCCAGGGAAAACAGCATGAAAGGATGCTGCAATGAAGACTGCAAACTATAAATGTTACAGGTGTTCTTGCAGATACTGCAGGGGGTGGTGAGGTCAAGCACACGGATAAGTATTATCCTTGAATTGATAATACAGACTCAGGAATAGGTTTTCAGTGGTGCTCCAGTTGTTACTACATTTTGTCATTGTCCTTGCTCTGCTGAATTTTTTTCTTTTCCACTTTTCATTTTCCAGGATGCAATCAAAAGGCACTGCATGGGAGATTGAAAAAAAAAACAATAAACAAAAAAAACCCAAATTGATACTACCTTACTTTCTGGCAGTACTGGTTATGATATAAACAGGAAATGAAAGGACTGGACACTGGAAGTGAAAATGAGAGAAGTGAGCCAGAGCAGTGGATCTCCAGCTGTGAAATACTTTTCCAGGACAGAGGAGTGGGATATGATTCCTGAGCAGATACATATTTCTTCCTGAAATCCTGTGTTTCAACAGAACAAGAGCTGATTATTTGGTTTCAGAAAGATTAAGTAAGGTATAGATATATACATATGCTCTGGCTTCAGTACTACTCATGGTAGTCAACTTTTGCTTGCAAAACCAAAAATTATCTTTGAAACGCAGTCAGAGAAGGTTCCTAAAACTGAAAAAAATAAAAATAAAATAAAAACAAAAATAAGGTGTCATTCCTGTCTTCAAGAAGGGTTTCAGGTTACATAGCCTTGCTTCAATCTGTGGGAAGGTAATAGTGTAAATAATCCTGAAAATATTTCCATCGATATGAAAGACAAGAAGGTGATTGGCAGTTGTCAGCATAGGTTTTCAAAGGAGAAATCACATCTGATAAACTAAGTTAACAACAGTGCAATATTATCTTCATTTTCTCTCTTACCTCTGAACAAAGTTACATGTCTCAACTTCTCCTTGTATGTCTTGGGCTTCAGATTCCTAATCATAGCAGAAATCATCCATTGACTTGGTCCAGTAAGCTAGTATCTTCCTTGTCACTGGGGAGCCCCAAAATAGAGACAGTAGGCTGCAGTTTGATAAAGCCAGACTTTATTTTCAAAAAGATGCAACTGCACCATAGCCTCTAGTCCTAGGATTCTTCTGCCTAAAAGATACAGCCCTAAATTTGAAATGGGCTACCTCTTTCAAAATTCACCACTTCAGTGTGCCCTACAACTACATCTGTGACAATGTTTCGCTGCAAGTGACAATTTTAAGACTAGATCCATTCCTATGTGTTTCTTTTTCAAAATATCATGTGAGCCCACAACTCTAAAAACTGTACCTGGAAATGAAAATTCTGCCATTAGGCCTGCAGCTGCTTGATCTGCAGCTCTAAAATATAGTCTCAGCAAAAAAAAAAAATGTTCTGTGCAATATGATTTATGCAGTTAGCAGTGACTTGGAAGTGCCTGTGCAATTTGACCTTTCTCAAAGGTTTTGTAGGCATGCGTGTAGCCTGCTAAACATTTTTTTTTTCCCCTGAATTGACTCATTATATAATTCCTTTTCTAGTGCCTTAAAGCTTACATCCAAAAATTGCTTCCTTGTACACAGATGAGGAAGCTCAAATTTCTGTCCCTGCCACAGACACTCACAAAGATTAACGTGCAATTTTCCTTTACTCTGCTGTAGGAACTCTGTGCAGGACATCTGATAGGAATGTACGTATCAGCTCAGCTGGTTTACTCTCCTAGATCAAACTCTTAACAATTTCACTGAAATTTCTGACACATAAATGTCTTACAAAACTTATGTTCAGAACAGCGTCTAAAATCTCTGCCACTATCTTCCCAACATTGGACTTTCAAGCACAGAATTGGTGTGTTATTATGGAAGACAACCTTGGATTAATATACATATAATATTACATTGCTTGTGAAGAGTGAACAAGTCAAAACATCATTACCACAGCAACTCCTCCAGCCAATGTTGAAAAGATCAGTTAAGTCTAGGAACATATCTCTGTTGCTGCAGAGGAATAGCGTTGTGAAATGACCCATGAATCTGTAAAACCTCAAGTTGCAAAAAAAAAATTCAAGGGGGACTAACTAACCTCTGCTCAGCCCTCCTGATACAGGCCAATAGGTACTAACACAAAATTGATGCGTGTTAAACATACAAATATTTATAGTTCTGCAATTATAGATGCTTTCATATATGGCAATAAGTACTTATAATGTGTGAAAATTGATTTCTATATCCTGAGATCAAACCTTAACTAATCTGAACAGTTGGCCTGAGCCATTTGGCCCAAAATCACCATCAGAATTATGAACTGCTAAGGACGGGCAATAGACAAACACCAGGAAGTTATAACCACACATAGCTCCAGATCAAAAGGTCGAGATACCAGCTTTCTAGCTCTGTCTGTCTTCTCTGTTGCTGAACACTACCCAGTTTTTCCACTCTCTTCTCCTGATTCTTTAAAGAAAGATGGTGACCATGAAGAAGCACAAGCTCTGAAGTAGATTTTATACATAGTGCTCAGCTTCTTAGATGAAGAGGATGAGATCCCTCAAAACATATTATTGTCTGAGAAAACGTCTCTCTCTGTTGAAGATCCTGTTCCTTCTGCTCCCTCCTCCATGTAGCACACACTTTCCTGCATGTTAAGAACAAGAGGCAAAAGAGTCCAGGATGTGCCATACACTCATGACCTTAGAAAATACAATGCTAACATTAAGTTCCAGAAATCCAGACAAAATCACAATGGTTGCCCTACACATACTAAAAATCTCTATGCCTTCTTGCCCTTTTATGACAATGGCCGTATTGTAACTTGAATGCAGTGAATTATGTGCTACACACACTATAGTCATACATCAAAGAAATGTAAAAGTATTTAATTTTCAACCTATCCTGTTGAATGCCATAATGTGGTACTTCTGAGTTGGAAAAAAAAAAAAAAAAAAAAAAAAAATTAAAAAAAATCAATGCAGCAATTCTGTAAGAAGAAAGCTTCAGAGCAAGTCACAGTGAATATGAAGTGCATAATTAAGAGCAGGATCTCATATTGGCAGGGCTGTTGTTTCTTTTTTGCTTGCAATTATGTTTGGCCTCTTCTGCTCTGAACAAAGACCCAAAAGAAGTAAAATCTGGTTATTTTTCCATAACACAGTGGAGCTTAGAAAGAATCCTGAGGAGATCTTTTGTGGGATTAGCAGAATAATTTAATAGGCAGTCATGTTGGTAGGTAGAGAACAAAAATATATTTGCATTTCAGACTGTCTGTAAGGTTTGG